ATAAAAGTAGATATATATATAGATATATGTAGACGCATTTATATATGGTAACAAACATAAATTTACTCTAATTATTTTCTTCATAATTACGCTTATATATTTTGACACACCTCATAGGATTTGTTTGACTCTTCTAACTTGTTCTCAATTCTAGTTCGTGTTCTGTTGGATCTAGTTTTACAATTCATATTGTTGTCATTGTGCCTCTACCAATGCTTTCCAAAACTTAGGTTCTCTCATATCATTCTCGTTTTGGGCTTTTCTCTCCACTTCTAATCTGTCTTCTTTCACACTCTGAGTGTCTTTGTTGATGTTCTTTGTTTTTCTCCTTGGACTTCAGATCCTTGTTTATGTTTATAGCATTTATGCATTTTTTGAAGAAAATTTCTGTACTAACTGAAAGGCCAGGAATCTGAACTTTGTGTCTGGATCCTCATTGAACTCCAAAGTCAGTGGTAATATATGTGCAAAATCAGTGGTTAAAGTACATAACGATGTTGTATTTTATTTATTCAAATGTCTAACTGATTAATTTTTTTATTTTTTTAATTACCACCAAATTACTTTTTAGTTAAAACATCTTCTGCTTAAAAACATTGATTTCAACAATTATAAACACCCTTATGTAAGACTATTTGTCGAATGGACAGCGATAATATTTGGCCAGCACAGGCCATTTGTACATCATTTTTTTTTTTCATGAGAGCATTGTTATTCTGGATGGAATCTTATTAAGTTTCAACTTTCCTTTATTTCAAACAGGAAGACAGAGTGGAAATCACTGTTAATTCACTTCATCCCGGAGCAATTATAACCAATCTTCTGCGTCACCACAGTTTTCTTAACAGTAATTCTCTAAGGCCATTTTATTTTAGATATTCTTTTGACTGTAATACCATTTAATTCTTGAAAATGCACTATCAGAATGCTTTTTCCAATGATATTACAAGGATGTGAACTAAATGATTTTAATTAACCATATATATCATTCTCTCACAAGATGTATACGAGTTCCATTTACTCGCAGCCGGGCGAGAGAAGGTTTTTTACTGTCTGATAAAAATCATATGGCAGAATCAGTTTAAGGTATGATACAAAAATCTGAAGACAGGTTATAGGACTTTGATTGCAGCTAAAGGGAGTAGAACTATGAAACTTCACTAGATATATTAATTAGTTCTGATTTAGTCATCAGTTTAGAAGCTGGATATTTCTCCCCTCCCTTTGCTTGGTAAGTTGTCAATATGGTTATTGTAATCTGGCCTGGATAGGAAGATCGAGTTATCCTTATAGAGAGGTAAAGAAGATTTTTCCCTGCTCATTTCAGCCTGGATTATGGGTTTTCAAGCATCGGTAGTTTATAGACAATGACTGGTTAAGATAGTTGTTCTTCAAGAAGCCATTTTTTGCCTGCTCTTTTGCTTTCCATGTTTATACTTTGCCATATCTTTTGAATCAAAGGATTTTCCTTCAATGGTTGTAGTTGATTCTGATTTTAGGATATGAGCTTTGACAGTTTGAGAAAGAGTGGTCACTCTGGGCATTTCTGGAACTTTCCATAATGGGTTAAACCCAAGATATATTTTTCCTTTGAGTTCTGAATAAGTATGCTAGTTGGCTCACGTAGTTCTTTATTTGCTGCTATATGGAGTTGGTTCAGTCTTTATTGGAATACAAGCATATGCCCTCTGTTTCTCTATTTCACTGGAGTTTTGACATTGTCTCACTTTCGATTAAGAATTCTTGTTATTCATGCAGGAATTGGGAGTATATTTGGTAAATATGTGCTAAAAAATGCTCAACAGGTGCATGCTTTATTCCCTGGACTGGGATTACGTGTTTCATTTTCTTTTTTGCTCTGAAAAATCTGAAAGGCATATGCATATTCACTTGTGTCATTTGAAATGGATGCAGGGAGCAGCAACAACATGTTATGTAGCATTAAATCCACAGGTAAAGGGTGTGAGTGGTGAATATTTTTCGGACAGTAACATAGCTAAGCCAAGCTCTCAAGCTAAAGATGCAGAATTGGCAAAAAGACTCTGGGATTTCAGCTTGAGCTTAACTGACCCACCCTAAGTAATTGGTACGGGGAAGGCATGAAGAGGTGCAGGCTGCTCATTCCTTGGCCTGTATAATAAAAGTACCAAGTATTTTAGTGAAACTGTAATTTCAGTAATTCATTATCTGTTGTTCTAAAGCTGGACTAATTTACCCAGGGAGTGTGGATAGGTTGTGTTGTTATCTATAATGGAGGAAAGAGATTTGAAGATGTTTGTGTTGTTACCTAGGGAGTGTGGATAGGGCATGAGTGATGAATATTTCTACTATCCTAAACCTGATATTTTTTATAACTAGGAGTAGGCAATATTCTGCTTCTATTTCTACGAAATTTTTTTAATAGTAATTTTAGAGGTTATATAATTACTCATTTAGTTAAAAACTTAAACCCGATATCAATAGGTATATAAAAAAATTCTCATTTTTACTTGCTATTTTCTTAACAATTCAGTGTTTGATATGAATGTATAATTTATTATTAAAGAATTCAAACTATTGAAATATGCCGAAGGATATACGATTATTGAGTTTAAAAAAATGTTAAAAAGATGTCTTCCGAATGTAATTCGATATTTTTGTCGAATTTCCTATAAAATTATTTATCGTCATGTATCAGGATAAGTAAGAACGGTAATCGATAATTATAAATATTAAAACTTATTATTATTTTGAATCAAATATTTTTATTTGTGTTAATATATAATGATACTCAACATGAAATAGACATATCAACATCATTTGGACATGTCGTGGATGTAATCCATTGGGAAAATACTTAGAAAATAGACAATAAATTCACTATAACCTCTCAAAAATTACTATTTTTGTTTATAAGCTCACGTTAATTATAATTTAAATATTAATATAAATTACAAAGGTATAAGAGTTAGTAAATAATGAAATTTGAAATTTCATAATTTATTAGATAAATCACTATTAGCAATTCAGATCTAATTTTTTTTTTTTATTATTACAAGTTCATTCTTAAACTTATAAAACATAATTTTTAAAGAAATGTTTTTACAAAAAAATTAAAAAAAAAATCCATGTATTATTTTTATTTAGGATTTTTTTTTAAAAAAAAAAAGGTTAAAAACTAATTGTTATATTTATTTTTAATGATTATTATTCCCATGTTATTATTTAATAAAATAAATTAATATTTTTTATTGAGATTAATCTTTATTTATTAGAATTTTTAAATTCCATAAATAAAACAAAATAATTTTTGCCATTTTTTATAATAATAATTTGTCGTGATCTGACGATGAGATCCGCGGGACAATAATAACATAGACATGTCTCCTCATACATGCATCAGATAGTGTCGAAGTCAATACGCCTCGCCAAATTTTATAATTACTCGGATATTCTCCCTACTCACTAGCTTTCTCATTTAGAAACTCGAAGAAGAAAAATGTGGATTTTTGGATGGAAAGGACCATCTGGATTCTCTGCTTCTTCTACTGCTGAGGATGTTACTCATGGGATTGATGGCACTGGTCTCACTGCCATCGTTACAGGTTTCTTTTTTCTATCCTTCACTTTTTTTCTTTTTAAATCTTGATTTCTCTTGTTTATCTTTTTAATTAATAGAAGTATTGTTTGGTAGCCGAGAAAACTGAGAGGAGAAACGCTCATTCGCTTTGCAATCGCTTGTATTAGTTATTTATAACTTGAATTTTGAGTTCTTCTTTTTAACCTTTATTCCCCTTTTGCTAAAGATTATATATATATATGCCCATTTTTGTAGTTTCACTAGGATGCGTACGGATGAGAAACTATTTTGTTTCTTAGTCGATTTGTTTGTCGGATGGATGGTTTCCATTAAAGCATAAACATAATTTAAAATGGATAACCTTGTCTAATGTATTTTCCGATGGTGTCTAAAATTTAACTGTTAGATTACTTTTGTTGGGTTTGTACATATATCTTAATCAAGCCATGTTCATGGATGAATGATAAGTATGTGAAAGATAATTATTGGTATTTCTGGTCTCATTATGAATTGAATGGAGAATGTTGTCTGCGATTCATTTCGTGGTTACTCTATCATATTTGCTACAGACGTGAAGTTGACGTCGGTTACTGTATTTTTTTTTTCCTGGTTGATAATTTAATAAATCATGATCCTTGATTTCCATAGACAAATAGCTAATGACCTAAATTGGGTGGAGTGAATATATGGCTCATGATGATTGAATATGTCTGATTTCATCCATTGATTGACATTCATTGAGTCAGTTTCTTCTAGTACATATTTTACTGAAATCATTTTCATTGGAAGACCAAGTCTTCCTACTCTTACATCATTCTTCCCTGATGTGTAATTCTAGAAATCCTAATATACCACGTAAAGTTTGTTGCAGTTACTATGATTTTGCCAAATTGAGTGGTGCATTTCTCCCATGATTTGCCTTTTCATTTCTGTCCAATAACTTCCTGTCAGAGCAGTATTGAGCTAGTGATAGAAGTGTTCGTTAGTCACATCATAGTGCTTATATCAGTTCATTCCAGGAGGATCAAGTGGAATTGGTGTAGAGACAGCACGTGTTCTTGCATTGTGTGGTGTCCATGTGGTTTTGGCTGTAAGGAATATGGATGCTGGCAGCAAAGTTAAAGAAGAAATACAGAAGGAAATTCCTGCTGCTAAGGTTGATGTTATGGAGTTAGATCTGAGCTCATTGGCATCAGTAAGAAACTTTGCATCTGAATACAAGTCGTCAGGTCTTTCCCTTAATATACTCATGTACGATAATTATTCTAATTTGTATTTCCCAGTTTCTGGACTCTCATTCTCTGTACACTCAATTTATTTTGCTTTGTGGACAGCAGTTCTCTTGTTGCTTATTTTTTATTCCACATATTTTTTATGTTTTTGAGAATTTTATTTTGATTTGGATGTTATATAAAGTACTGATGTTCTCTATGCTTTTTCTGAAGTAACAATGCTGGGGTTATGGCAACTCCTTTCATGCTTTCCCAAGACAATATAGAACTCCAGTTTGCAACCAACCATTTAGGTATGCTACGAGTATAACTTGTTTTTATATTGACCAAAGTCTGGAAATTCCTTTGCAAGGAGTGGATTGAACAATTTTCTTTCATTCTCTATATAATTAAGTGTCTTGTAGTAAATTTGATGTGCCGATCATAAACTAATAAAAATGATCTCATTAGGAGATTTTGGTTGAATGGCTATCTTTTTAGAGTCACTGAAACTTGGATCTTTCGGATAATCTAATAATCATTTTATAGGCCATTTCCTTTTGACAAACCTTTTGTTGGAGACAATGAAGAACACAGCATGTGAGAGCAACAGGGAAGGAAGGATTGTCAATGTATCATCTGAAGGTCACCGATTTGCATATCGTGAAGGAATTTGTTTTGATAAAATCAATGATGAGTCATGGTAATATAGATGGTATTTATTTCACATTTATATAATCGAGGTTCTCAATTTTTTCATGTAATGAACAAGCTTATCGCTCTTTTCTTGAATTCCTTTAATTCTTCTACAGGTATAACAGTCTATTTGCATATGGGCAGTCAAAGCTCGCCAACATATTGCACGCTAATGAGCTTGCAAGGCGGCTAAAGGTAATCAACGCATTTATCAGTTATTCTTCAGTTGTTCATCATATTAGGAAAATCTATACAATCGTGTTCCCTCTTTTTAGCATATGCCTAGAATTTGGTAGGTAAAACCATGTCACCTTGTTGCCTAAGTGTCTATTTTATGCCTTATTTGTTTACTCCAAGGATGAAAAGTGCTTAGAAGAACCTTCTCTGATGTTTCTTTCTTGGGAAAGCTGCCTTCCTTAGTAAATGGAAAGTATATATGAATGTCAAAATGTAAATCTAAGAAGTATAAAAAAGGACTTTATCTTTTACTTTTAATATTAAAAAGGCCAGAGGCCTTTGGTCTCAATAGCACTTACCTTTGATAACCACCCTCTTAGGTGAGGACGGTAATAGGGGTTTGAGCTCCACTTATGGCTTTCCTCTTCACAAAGAAAAAGAATTAATAGGTTTCTTTTGTGCTACTGTTGTCTAATATAAAGTTTATTATTGGAGTGTTTGAAAATTGCTTCTTTATTCTTAATAAGTTGCTTTAATAAGCATATCCCAATATTCTCACTTGGTAACATAAGTAGGGTATCTGTGAGTTGCTATAAGAACCAGGGGAAACACCCTCTATCGAAGATTGTTGGAGGTCTTATATGTGCAACTTTCAACAGTAGGAATGTGTGCTGGGCATTCTCATACCTATGGCATGATAGCTTTTGCTAATTTATAACCTCTGAGTTGAAAAGACAGTTTGTTGATTTTAGCTTCCTGTATAGTTAATTGATGTACGTTATACGTTGACGCTTATCCAATATTCTTTTTTCCTTGGCTTGCTTGCTTTTTGGGTTTGAGTTTACTTTGTTGACATGAACCTTTGATGTGGTCGATTGATTTACCTTGATTTATTTGCCTTGATGAGTATGAGCTTACATTGTTGGTGACTTAGTTGATTGATTTACTTGCCTTTTGCCTTCTTGAGCTTCAGTTTATTTTGTCAGTTGCTTAGCTGGCTGATTATCTTGATTTTCTGCCTACCTAAGCTCTGGTTTACAATATTGACCACTTAGTCAGGCAATTATGTTCGCTTCCCATTTTATGGGTCTGAGCTTGCATTGTTAATTGATTTTCTTTGGCATTTTACCTTTTGAGTTGGGGTTTACATGGGCATCCTGCCACTTGAATTCAGGTTAGTTTGTCCCTTGTCTCTCTTATCCAACTTGTTGATTTGTTTAGTTTCTCATTCTCATTGGTTTTACCTGTTCAGTTATTGCTTTCCTCTTGGTTCCATGGTTAATTTTTGTTCCAGTTTTGGCTTTCAACCTTTTTGCTTACTTATTCTAGATGTCTTTCTTGATTTTTTTTTATTTCCTTCATACTTGATTTTACGATTGGTTCTAGTCTTGGCTTCCATCTTTCCATTTTCTGTCTTTTGTCCTGTACTTGGGTTCTGGATCCCTAAGTATTTTCCTTGATCTCTTTATGCTTTTACCATTCTAGTCCTTTGGTTTTTACAACTTAGGCTTTATGATTTTCAATTCATTCTAATTTTCTTGGAGTTCTTGTCTTTCTATCTTGATAGTCTTAGAGTTTAGTACTTCTCATATTCCTTGTATCTTCTATAAATTTGTTGTTTGTACTGTGTCAAGAACCAGCTCAATAGCAGGAAAGAACAAGGAATAAAATTTTGCTTCTGTTAGTATAATTAATTCTGTTAAATTAATTCTAGAATTCTACATTTTTTTTGGTATACTCAAAAGACATAGGACGGCTTTAGTGTACCTGGAGAATAATATTACTGTCACTAACCATCTATAATTGGCTGCAGTAACCCTATAAATGTTAGGCGTAAACTGATAGGAGTAAAGAAATATCAGAAAATATCTAGTCAACGTCGTCCCTCTTTTCCTTCTTTCAACTGTAAGGAGACGAGTGCAAGGAGAAGAAAACGTAACTGGGAGCAGAGAATTGAAGTCGCTGCAGGTATATGAGTGGAAAACAGCTGGCGAGGCATGATCCAGAAAAGACAGGGACACATGGCAACCATCCAGCAAAAACAGGGACGCGTGTTGAGCTTCGGGTGGGAGATGAAAGAGTGGGCGACGTGTCACAAATCCGAAAGCAGACAAGCAGAGACGTGGTGCAAATTGGTGATTGAAGATGCGTCTTCCGGAAGAAAAAATGCGTGGTGCATATAAGAAGGGATGCGTGGTGAAAATCCGATCACTGAAGAAGAATTTCAAGCTAAGGTACCATTTTCACTTATCTAGGGTTTCTGGGCACCATCTTTTGGGTTCTCCTTATCATTTCTTCGCAAAAATTGTTTTTCTTCTTGAAATTTCGATTCGTAATAGAAAATCCATTGAGAATTTAGCATATTTGGCGAAGGAATTCATGTTTTGTAGCCTATAAATACCCCCAGCCACTATAATGAAGTCATGGTAAGAAAATACAAGAAATTTCAGTCTTCACTCGCAAAATTTTCAGTCTCTTTCTTCTCTGTCTTGCTCTAATTTGTCTCTTTTTCTCTCTCCTGACTTTCTCTCTTTCTTCTTTTTCTCTCTCTTTCTTTCTCAAAATTGTTGTTATGAACCTAATACATGGTTCCTATGTGAAAGAAAGAGGAAGAAAAAGAGAAAGCTGAGAGAGAGAGAGAGAAAAAGCGAGATATTAGAGCAAGACGGAGAAGAAAGAGACCCAAAATTTTGAGACCAGAGACTGAAATTTCTTATATTTTCTTTCCATGACTTTCATTACTATGATTCAACGGATTTTCTGTTTCAAATCGAAATTTCAAGACAAAAACGCAGTTTTTGCAAAGAAACGTGAAAGAGAACCCAAAAGACAGCACCCATAAACCCTAGATGCATGAAAATGGTTCCTTAGCTAGAAATTTTTCCTCAATGTTAGGATTTGCACCACGTTTCCCTTCTTCAACGGTCGGATATGCACCATGCATTCTTTCTTTTGGAAAATGTATCTTCAATCTCAGATTTATGCTACATCCCCACTAGTCTGCTTCAGGATTTGCGACATGTGGCCCACTCTTTCATCTCCCGCCTGAAGCTTGACATACATTCTTTTTTTTGCTGGATGGTTGCCACACCTCCCCGGCTTTCTTGATTGTTGCCACATGTCCTGTCAGCTGTTTTTCATTCGATTCCTGCAGTGACTTCAATTCTCTGCTCCCAGTACCAATAAATTCTAACAAAATATTCAGAAGAGAAAATTACAGGAGTAGTTTTTTTTTATATTTTTTGAGTAGAAAAAATACTATATATTCACAGAATACTAGTGGCATGCAACTTGTATACAAAATTCTTTACAAATCTAACAAAATATCAATAATGTCCCAAGATCCTCACAATAATATAGGGTAGCCTCTAATAAAAAACTTTGGAATCTAGTGTCTTTAAATCTGTGAATATTAGATTCAACACCCTCAAACCCTTATATTCATTTCCTTCCAGATGGCGAAATGGTAGCAAGCGGGATAAGACTAACAATCATCTTACCATTTTGAAATCTTTGCACACAGCTCCCTGATACTACTGACAATAACCCAGCTCACTCCCAGTAAATAATAAACCACAGACCAAAGGCGATAGGCATACAGGCACTAAAGGAGAATATGATTGCAGGTCTCCGTATCATTCTTACACGAATAATCTCCATTTGCTGGGATCTTACCCTTTTGATCAGCCTATCTTAAGTCGAAATCGCCCTCAAACTGCTTCCCAAACAAAAAAAGCCACCTTGGGAGTGGCCTTCACTTCCAGACCAGCTTAGATGGAAACTTAATAAAATAATCTTCATTCTTTGTCAACCCAACATACCCATATAGAATAGGACGGATAGTGGCAGGTTAGTGGGTAATTTGCATCACTAGGCATCCATATTCCTCACCTAGAGAGCGGACACGTTCAACAATAGCTAGAGTTGTTCATGACTGGAAACTACTGGGATTGGTTTAATTCTCAGTTTACATTGGAAATTGTATGTATAGAATAATTCTTCTCCCTCTTGTGAAGAGTTATTTACGTCCCTTGGCATATTTGTGGCTACTGTAACCCATAGGAGGGTGTTTTCCATTTTCTTTCCTTCCAAAAGCATTCAAGTTATACTCTTGAAATGATGAATATTTACTCATGGTAACCACACTTTGTTTTTTACTTTTCCATGTGATTAAGTTACTTCTTACAAGTGTGCAATAACCTATAGTTGATTTTTTATCATTTAGGGATCCAACCCAATTGGCATCTGTAAATGCTTCTATTTTAAGGTGATCATACTTAGAAAAGAACAGATTTTTTCTTGGTGCATACTTTATGTATCGTAATATGCGGAAGATAGCATGTAAATGAGTTTCACGAGAATTATGCATATACTGGCTCACAAGACTAACTGTATATGCTATATCATGTCTGGTATGTGAGAGATAAATGAGTCTTCCAACTAGTATCTGGTATCTTCCCAAGTCAACTGATGTACCACTAACTGCTTGCAATTTATGGTTGTTCTCAATAGGTGATTCTGCTGGTTTGCAACCCATCATATCAGTCTGTTATAATAAGTTTAGAATATACTTCCTTTGAGAAATGAAAATCTCTTTATTGGATTTGACAACTTCAATCCCCAAAAAGTATTGCAATTTTTCTAAATCGTTTATTTCAAACTCTTGAGTAAGAAGTTTTTTCAACCGAACCATCTCTTTTGTGTCATCTCTATTTATGACACTAATAGATAAAAGATTATCAGAAAAATTAGACAGATGTAAAACTGAAAACAGTATAATAGTAAAAGTACAATTAATGGAACATGTTACCAATACGGGGATGTATGACTCATCTGTTATACGGACTTTATTCCATTCAGTACAAAAAGAATAGGTTAAGAATTTTTTAAAGGAGCCTATTGTGTGTCTGTTAGATATAGAATCTATAATCCAATTATCAGGAGTTGAAATATGGTGAACAATACCTGATTTTACCATATTTGATGTGCAAACAGTTGATGAAGAGTTTAGTTGATTCAGAATGTGCTTCAGATTTTGAATTTTTTCTATGGAAAAGGCTCCAACGGATGGTGAATTAGGTATTTCCCTAACTTCAACAAAATTTATTTGAGCTCTTGTGGTTCCACATCTTCTTCCTTCCTGACCTCTAATTGGTCTTTCATGCAACTTCCAACAAGTTTTCCTAATGTGTCTTGACTTGCTACAATAGTCACTTTTCAATATATCTCTGGATTTATTAGACTGGCAACTAATCCAGTCTTTTCAACTGGTGCAATGTAAAGCATGATATTTCTTCTACTCTTTTCTTACTGAACATAAGTATAAGTTTGTTCTAATGAAGCAAAGAGATCCTTACAAAGCACTTGGACCGTATTTAATAATATTCGGTATTCAGATCAGGTAAAAAATTATAAATTCGCTCTTTTTCTATCAATTTTTAAAATGTAACTGCATTTGCATGACACTCTACTTGAAAATCTTGATAATAATTTAACTCCTGTCATAATTCATTCAGTTCAAAAAAATATTGAAAAATAGTCATCTCTCATTGCTTTGTGTCATGAACTTTATTTCGGAATTCATAAATTTGGGCGTCATTATCTATCTATGAAAATGTAAGAGATGTTGTATTTCATATTTTTTCAGCAGTGTTAAGCAACATATATGTTCTGGCAATATGGAGTTACATGGAATTTATGAGTCATGACATTACCAATGAGCTCTCAGAGTCTCATCTATTATATTCTAAATTATCAACATCTGGTTTTTTCGCCTCACTAGTAATGTAACCCTGCAGTCCTCTATATTTGATGAACAATAAATAAGATCTCGACCAAGCAAAATAATTAGTTTCATTAAGTTTTATAAGATTGATTTGTAATGAAGGATTATCAAAGCTAGTAACACTTATTTTTTTTAGTTTTATTATCTTAGAATGTTAAAAATAAGAAGAAAAAATACCTAGTAATGAAAAAGAGACCTCCTATCTGCACCAAAGAGCCAAAAAAAACCAAAAAAAGGGAAAAAAAAGACAAAAAAAAATGGAACTAGATTTGGCTCGGCTCGGCTTGGCACCGGCTCGGATGCAGACAGTTCTACTTAGGCACGGACGGACCAAGTCAGAGTGGTTTGGCGCGCGGAGTGGCTATACCAGACATCCTGTGCGCAGAAAAACGGACTGGCGCGAGGGAGGGGCTCTATTCGGTCAATGCAGCACGACTAAGCACGCGACTAGAGCAACGTGGTGTGTAGGAGGATCGGTCGACCCGTCTCCAAACACGGATCGGCCGGATCGAAGTGGCAGAGGGCACAGAATGATAGATCTTCCGAACGCACGCAGCCGCATGAAAAAAAGGTCAGATAATCGCGATCAAGCTAGATTTTGTGCGGAAGGGAATCAGATTTGTCTCAATCGGACTTTTCTGGCAGTATTCCACCATTTTTCGGATCGAATGGGATGAAGCCAGCTGCGCGTGTGGCTCACGCACCTCTGTTGCCGGTGGCGCACGACGCGCGCGGAAACTGTGGTTGTTCTGGCCGAGGTTAAGCAGCGACTCCGTTTGGATGATGTTGGGTTTGGTTTCTTTAGTAGTTGAGTACTAACTTTGGTCTATTTTGTTTATTCTATGATTTTTTTTAAAACCTTAAAATAGCTTTCTTTTAGTTTTGATATCATGAAATTTTTGGAAAAAATAAATTTTTAATTTTATTATTTATTTTTTATGTTTAAATTTACAAGATATATATAGAGTGATTATTTTTATTGTAGTTGAACTTTTATTATAGGATATAATTATATTATTAGAACTTTAATTAATATAGTATTTTATTTAACATGAAATTCTTGTCAACAATATGTAAAATCAATGCTTATGTTTTTCAGTAAGTTCTTTTATTTAAATATATAATTGTTTATTTATTTATTTAAATTACCACCAAATTACTTTTAAGTTACTTAAAACATATTCTGCTTAAAAAACATCTGTTTCAACAATTATAAACACCCTTTACATAAGATTATAACTAATTTTACAACACATGGACCACGATAATATTTGATTAGCACCTGCCACTTTGGCATGATTTTGTTTTTTCATGACAGCATTATCTTTCTGGATGGAGTCTTATTAAGTCCCTTATTTCAAGCAGGAAGACAGAGCGGAGATCACTGTCAATTCACTTCATCCTGGATCAATTATGACCAATCTTCTGCGTCACCACAGTTTTATTAACAGTAATTCTCGAAGGACATTTGACCTTTAGATATTCCTTTTACTGTAATACCATTTTAATTCTTGAATCGCTATCATAATGCAACTGTCAAATAATGTTACGAGGACAAGATTTATATGGTTTTAGTTAACGGTATGTATCATTCTCACAGAAGACTTATACAGAAGATTTATACGAGTTCTATTTCATCTTGGGGTTCTGAATGACAATGCTAGTTGGCTCATGTGGTTCATTCTTGTAATTCATGCAGGAATAGGGAACATATTTGGTAAATATGTGCTCAAAAATGTCCAACAGGTGCGCGCTTTATTTCCCTGGCTCAGATTAATGCAATTTTTATATGATGGTCTTTCATTTTTTGTTTTCTCTGAAAATCTTAAGAACATATACATATTTACTTACACGTCATATGACATGGATGTAGGGAGCAGCAACAACATGTTATATAGCATTAAATCCACAGGTGAAGGGGTTGAGTGGTGAATATTTTTCGGACAGTAACATAGCTAAACCGAGCTCTCAAGCTAAAAATGCAGATTTGGCAAAAAAACTCTGGGATTTCAGCTTGAGCTTAACTGATCCTAAGTAATTGATACGGGAGAGGCTTGAGGAGTTGCAGGGTGATTAAGCGTATATAACAAGAGTAGAATTGTATTAAGTCTTTCAGTTAAATTATAATTTCACTAATTCTTTATCTATTGTTTAAAGCTGAATTTGCCTGAATTTTTGTTAATCTATGGAATGTGATTAGCTTGCCCTGCTACCTATAGAAGGACAAGGAAATGTATGAACGAGATTGAAAATGATGTTTGGTAGCCTAGAAAATGATGGAAAAGGGAAGGAAGATAATTGGGGAAAAAAAAAAAAAAAAAGGGATGTAATTTTAGGGTTTTAAACATAAACTAGTGATGTGACAAATTATAAGAGAAAAAAGCTAGGGATTTGTGTCTAGTAATTTCTTAGTTAAGTTGATTTATGTTAAATTTTTAAAAATTGAGAGGATTTCTGTATGTTTTGTGACATTTACAAACTCCATTAGCTCTCACTTGAGGTTCAGTTTTAGAAATTATAAAATTTTGATTTTTGGTTTGGGTTTTTTGGTTTTCAATAAAAAAGTTCAGTTTGATCCAAAAAATTAAAATTATTAGGGTGTTTTTGAAAATTTTATAATATTAGGGGTTTTGCTTTCATAAAAAAAATAAATATATAAAAAAATTTAATTTTATTTATCTTTTTTGAAATTGATGAGGACTAATCTTATATTGATGGCCAAACTCCAGGTAATCTTTATGTCGTAAAAATACACAGAAAAATTGTATGTCATCTAATCAACCCACATCATATAATCTATATTTCTAATGGACTTAATTAATATAATTGATCATGTATATTATACAATTCAAATATGTTTCTAAATCATGTCTGCTATGTATAAGCCAAAACATACTAACCATAGTTATACCTCATATATATATAATAAATACACTAATTATTACTTATAGATCATATAATCATAATTAGTAAGTTTTAAATATCAAAATTTAATTCAAGATTAAATTATACATCACTTAGTGATGCAATTTTTATACAATCATACATGATTCATGCATAACCTAAAAGGATCATAGCTTGCAACCTAAAAGAGTAATATAAATTTTTGTATGATTTTGATCTCATGAAGTCCAAGGTAAATTTTTATTCTCATATTGAAACTAAATGTCAAACTAATGTGATTATATTTTCAATTGAAAAACTAATTTTAGGATCAAGTTATTTTTCTTATTTTTTCATATAATCGAAATTTAATTTTTTTTTTTAAAAAAAAACATTTTTCTTTGCGCTTTTTCTTCTAGGTAGCTCATGAATTTTGAAAAAAAATTAGAGAGATTCTTCCCTTGTATTCTTCAAATCTGAGTCACATTAAATTTCTACTAAAATTCTTATTTTATTTAATTCTCTTGAGAATATGATCTAAACTTAAATTTTAATGGTTTTTAGATATTAGTTTTAGTTTTGAAAAATTATTTATGATACTTCTAAGTGAATGATTCTATAATGATTAAGTGTAGCAAGGAAGAACAAATATCTATTTACAAGCGTCCAAATTAATATTGGAATCACAGTAGAAGAAGGTAGAAGGTTTTGGAAGATGTAAAGAAAATTTAATTGGTTTTGGAATGCCAAAAGCCATTTCTTCCTTTCAAGCATTTGGCAAGCCTTATTCTAATACCCTTAAACCAACTTTTCTCTTCTTCTATTCTATCTTTGAGATAGATTCAATTGATATCAAGTTCTCAAACTTTGAAGTTTAGATTAATTCAAACTATTACATGCTTAATCTTTGTATTGCAATAACATGGAACATTTTAGCATTAAGTGTTTACTCTTTTATCTTGAATACTAAATTTAAGGTAATTGAGATAACTCTTAACAACTCAGGTTATTATAATAAATAGTCTTTCATTATAGAAAATGTTTAATAAAGAAAATAATACCCTTCAAGTAAGTATGATTTCTGAAGCTTTACAAAAAAGTATAACGATTTGGATTGCTATAATGTGTTTAATTAATCCTTAAGCATATCTTTGCAAAAACCAAATTGCTTACTGAATTTGAAGGTAAAGTAAGTTTCCACAATGAATTTATTATTGTGGTATTAAGTTAGATAATTTCATCTATAATAATAAAGTAATCATAAAATTTAAAAGATTATTTTTTTTCTATTAGAAATAAATAACATTTTATCTGTAATAAAAGATTATATTAATAAATTTTGACTTTAGTTCTTGAAAAACTTTAGATACTTCATCATAAGTAAAATTTTCTATCATATGTTTATCAATATACCTTGTTAATAGTGAGTCAGATTTTAACTCAACATAAACAAAAAAATGATGGTTTTATATTCTACAAATCAGACATATAAATAATGAATGAAAAAGCGAGTATTACAAATCATAAATTATTTAAAATCACATTCTCTCGTAAATTACAATACTCTCTAAATCACTAAAGAAACACAAATTCATGAATAAAGTGGCTTGCAATTTTCAAAATATAGAGAAGAATAAACTTGACTTTTTTGTTAGGTAGCAAGGACTTGCATAACCAACAAGAGATGAAGTGTTAAATGCATTATTCGCGTCCTTTAGAACTTCTTCAACATTTAAGTCAATGACTTGTTTTCAAGTTTGAAACAAGGGGATGACCCTGGAAATATTACCTAGCTGAGTTCTAGACATTCTTCAACACCTTGCTTCTAATAAAAAGGTTGTGGTACTTGTCTCAATCACAAAGCTAAAATGTCACCCAAAATCAATTATATTCACGTTAAATAGGTCATCCACTCCATGATTACATTTTTGAAAGGTAACAAATAAATATTAGCAAACTATGGAGGAGATATATTGTTTCACCTTTAAGATTTATATTGAATCCTCAATAAAAATAAATAAATTCATCATAAAAGAGAATGCAGAGAAAGGAAGTCCCACAAAATAAATGTATGTCATAGAGTAAAATTAAAATTCACATGTTGTCTGTTTGCAGAAAGAACTTTAATACTAATAAAAATATTGTATGATGTTTGCCAATGATTATAAATAAAAAATGAGCATCAATGACACCATAAACTCTCACATGAACTAGAGTCTGCTTGCTATGTCCACATAACTCTTTA